AAAAAAAAGCTTAAAAAGCTAAGGAAGAAAAAATATCTTTCTGACACCAACGTAACTTATTGATCTTTGAGCTCAAAACAGATCTTAGCAAACCTACTTTAACCATGTGTTGATTGACTTTCAGGAGGTATATTTACACCAGTAACAATCTGTGTCTAGAGCATCTTACTTGTTTTGTTAATTGTTAGTCAAAATGCAAAGAGTACTGGGAGGGTAGAATGAAGGTTATTTTATTTCATCATCTATTTGATTATTTTGGGATCTTCCATGGGATAGCCTGTCATCAGACCAAGTACACAGGAACTACTTATACATGCAGAAATCATGATGTAAAGACTAACTCACTTGCACAACAAATAAGGAGAACAATACTTTTTTATATGGCAAGGGATCACAGACCAGTGCACAGAAAGAAGCAATGCCACAGCTGTCACAGGAGGCTCTCAGCACTGAGGATGTTGTCTGAAGCACAAACAGCACTTTTATTTCTGACCTTGGGTACTATGTAAAATCAGGTAGAAAGGAGGACTTTCGCATTGCTGTGGGCTCAGCTGTGGAAATTATGGCAGTGAGAACTTGACAATTGATAGGAATAAATGATGGGTTCTCCAGACAATAGAAGATCTAGTTTCAAATGCTGTTGATGTTGAAACTTTTGCACCTGATATATTAATTTTGACAACTTTACATTATATTTTTAAAAAAGAGTGAACTGGTATTGCCACATTTCTGTATCTTTTAGTGAATAGTTAATAAATACTAGAAATCACGTTTTTTTTTTTTTTTTTCTGAAACTTGTTTTATCAGCTGTCAATAGTGGTTAGGCAGACAGTGAAGTTAAGGTAATAATCTTTTCATGGGATGGAGTGCTTCACAGAGCCTGCCTTAAGATTTTTTTGCCTGACAGTCTCGCTGACACAGTCAAGATCCTAACAATCATACAACGTTATTTCCCTAGAGTGCTCAGTTATAAAGATTCCACAATTGACACAAAGTTCCTGTGACAGCCGTTCTTCTGGCTCCAAATGAAATCCCTTGGCAAACTGTTAATCTCAGTGGAGTTACAGGTGTATAATTAAGGGAAAATTCTGCCCCTGCCTTTTTAAGCTGAATAATAATCCTAGTAGTCAGTGAGCTGTGCTAGAATCCAGCTTGTGCTTCCTTTGTCATGTGGCTGCTGCTTTGCTAGTAGCTATAAAAACACACTAACCAGTCAGGCAGACATGACTGAGTAAGTAGGAGTATGCTCTGAGGATGACAGGTGGGGGGTTGATTTTTTTTTTAAAAACAGCCCTACTGTGAAAGAAACTGCATTCAGGATTATACTCCCATTTAGAGAATGAAGCAGTATTCACTACAGATGCCACAGACACAGGTTTGCACTGTGAACTTTACGCTCCTGAGCTTTTTTTTCATGATAGCTTGCTACACATTGGAAAACAATATATAAAAATAGATTTCCTTCCAGTGATATCCTATTTCATTAGTTAGTAAATTATAATATATTATAATCCATAGTTATTGGCCTTCTTCTCAAGGGAACTGAAAATTAAACTTCCTCTGAAATAACATAATGTCTTTATAATTTCTTTGGGCATAACTAAAAGAGTTAATGGAAGATGTATTAAACAAAGTACACAACTAACACTGATTTCAGTTCATAAAAAAACATTTCCCAAATTAAGACAGCACACATCCTACTCAAAATTGAAAGCCTGCAGTACTGTAAGTAGAGATAAGATCACAAAGCCAGTGTAATTCAACTTGTGTATCTGCTGTGGATGACCACTAAACCTTTATAACTATTTTATTTGCTCTTTCCTTCCTTTTGCTCTTTCCTTCCCTCAGCCTGTCCTCAGTTTTAAAGTGTATAAAGAAGTCTGAGCAGATAAATTGTAAATATAGTCTACCATACAGAATTTAAACAGGCATGATGGATTCTCCTCCATCTCTGAGCGTTTCAAAACTGTAGTATTTCAGACAAGTTCCTTAAAGTTTTCTACAAGAAATGTTCTAATTCAGCTATGGCCACTGAAACATAGAATGTAATTCTGTGGCTGTGATGCATGAGACTTTAGAGGATCATCACAAAAGACAGCAAATGGTGTCCATATTATTTTAGCAAAACAGAGTTAAGGCTTAAGGTTTTCCCTTAGGTTTCAAAAAGAGTTAATCAGATCATCGGGAATACAAATAATGCATAATGTTTCAGGCAAAGAAAGCACTACTAGAGTTAGATAAACCAGGCAGAGAATTTCATTGTCACAATCCAGACCTGTCCGACACTTCCAAACGGCCCCAGAAATCTGAAATAACCACAGGTTTTTGTTAAGGAAAAAATTCAGTTGAGGTCTTTCCATAGCTGCTCTAGCATGCCAGTGAAACTGCTGTGGAGCAGTGCAATGATGTATCTGTGCATCAGGCAAAGTGGAGTTGGTAACAAATCCTAGAGCAACATGCTTCAAATTTACTGTGTCTGAGGCATTTTTTTCAGAAAATACAGAATTCATGTTCTCTTCCTCTCCTGACACAGGAGCAGTGGAAAGTGCCACCAACTAGTTACATTGTCATGTAGTGATTCCAAACTACATATAAAGAAATTCCTGTAAATAGACTGGAGGCTGTGTTGTCTTCAGGGGTTGTAGAAATACTCCAAATCTGCAGTTAATGTAATTATGAAAGGTAAAGAAAACAGTTGTTTCATTTTATAACAGTATCAAGCTACTAGATTAGACTGAAAACTCTGTGAAGTTATTCTGCATCTGGATATTATAAAGCTTTTTTATCTCTCCTTGAAACTGACCATTAACTTAAGACCTGATGACAGTTCCTAAGGTAGCAACCTGTAAAGTCAGGTATGAAAATCAAGTACTTATTAATATTAATCTTTTCATTTTATTCAATGGAGTGCAGGAGGAAACCACTTATAGTGTTTTAATAAAATCTCCAAAGATGTTGAAAGGTTACCACCCCATCGATTCCTCCTCCTATTTGGTTCCTGTGTGTTGCAATGACGTATATTTCCTACACAAAATAGAAATTTTATGTTGGTATCAGCATTTGGGAACCTTATAATAAAATCTGTTATACAATTACATTTTTATACAGCATGTAGTGGATAGCTAAGTGATGCTCATCATAGAAAAACTGCCAACACTTGAGAGATCTACTATCCAGGGTAGAACCTTTCACTCTGTACCAAAGGTACCAAACCTGGTAAAAAACTGAAACTGTGTGATTTATGAATCATAGACTTATTTTCCCCTCTGAGATGTGTACGGTTGGGCTAAATATTTTAAACTGAAACAAGCAAATCAGCGCCCAACATTATTAAAATGTCAAGTAAACATAATGATTTCTGTGTAAGATGACACTGCGCTGTGTTGTTGAGTGCTTTATATCAGTGTTCACTTTGGAGGCCTCTACAAATGCCCATGTTCAAATGTCTTTGGGACCAGGTGTAACACTATTTCTGGAGTTTCTCACTGTGCTTCACTAATCCCATGGTCCTGTGAGATCTGGGAGTGAAAAGGGTTGCATTAAGGATTGGAAACAATCACAGGACTCCTCTGACTTCGAGAGATTTCATGTTACTGGTGCCCTAGGGGATAACATCTACATCCTTAGTTTGTTATACATTTCTACAGAGATGTCACAGCTAAGCACAAGGATTTAGGCTTCTAGGTGTTCTTTCTGATTACATTATGTAAGACTACACCTACAGTTTGGTGCTGTGATTGACTGTTCAATAGCAAAAATCATACCTAGACACCATGGCATTTTATTTTTGTTGCTCTACAAATTTCAGTGTCATCCCCAGATGCACCTCCTGCCGTACTTTTTAGCTGTTCTCATAACTTCTGAAGATCAGTGGAAGCTGATAGGATCTATTTCTTCTACCATCTCACTTCATCTGCACAATAAATTGATCATTAAGTATAATCAGCAAAAGGCTGGGCTGTTTACCTCCCTTTGCCAACACTGACACACTTAGTG